GATGCCAAAATGCTCATTCATATAAATTTTGGCACTGCTCTAACACAACAAATAACATCTAAAGTTCATTTAATGATGCCAAGTATCTGCCACTGTGCCAAGCACTGGACACAGTCGACTGAGCAACTGTCTCCTTTTTTTTTTTTGTGGCCACTCACCCCTGACTTTGCACTGATTGTCTTTTGGTTTGTTTATGACCAAAACACGAAGCAGGTGCCCGCACTGTTTCCCACGCCACTTGATGGTGCCCTTCATGCCCCCTGTTCTCTTCTAAAAAGAGCTTTGTTTCTTGTTTTTGCCACTGGCACCAATATATGGCTTCAGAACATATCACTTTTTCGAGACACAAGTTTTGGTGGCAGTATACCATATTGTAAATCAGATCACTAACTGCATGACATATGAATCCTTGCATCAGTCTTTTTTCAATACAATTTATACCTCACTTGGATGATAGGTGACCCAGACCCTGACTCACAGCTGACTTTAGGCAAGAAGTGGGGTACATCGGCACTCTTTCGCAGATCATATACAGTATAGATCAGGGGTGTCAAACTCATTTCACATTGTGGGCCACATACGGACTCGGTAGATGTCAAGTGGGCCGGACCATTAACATTATACCATACTGTGCTATGAATCACCAAAATATCATCTCTTTCCTTTGTTTTGGTCTCAAGAAGCATTGATTGGCGCTTTCATATCATTTGCTGCGTTGGGTCTATCTCGGTGACAGACTGAGACTGCTGTTTTCTTCCCCGATCAAAACAATGTTGTCTTTTACTGTGATCAAAACAGTGTGCCCCCTAGCGGATAATCCACGAATTGCATTTTATTTAAAATATTCATTCTGTGTCTTTCATGCATTTTTTTTTCACTTTTAAATCATCCCGCGGGCCGGATCAAACCTCCTTGGGGGCTGGTTCCGGCCCGCGGGCCGTATGTTTGACACCCCTGGTATAGATAAACAACCATTCACACAACTGGATAAATAAGAATATGCAGCTCACCTCACATGCATTTTCTGAAATACGGGAGGAAGCAGGAGTATGTGGAGAAAACGCCACACAAGGACGCGGCGAACCAAAACCTAAAGAATCCATTCAGGACGGCCTGACCCAAGACTTAAACCCAGATCTTCTTGACAATGAAGCAGATGTGCAAACCACTTGTCCAACTTGCTGTCAGATGAGTATGTTTTATTGCTCATTAAACATACACTACAGGGACACCGTCTTGAGGTGTCCCATGCGTCCATTTTACCAACAGGAACTGAAAATAGAAGAAAATATGGAGTCCTTTGGAACTAGAATGTCTCTGTGGGAAGACTTTCTCTAGATGTTGGATGAGAGGGCCCGGCTAACAGTCTTTATTCAAGTTCATCAAAAAAGTGTTTGATGCAGTTGGGTTTAGGGTTCTTCAGAGGCAAGTTATTCAAAACCAAACCCATTCAACCATACCTATACAGGTCCTGCTTTTTGATTTAGCAGAAAGGGGCTTTTTTTCAAGCTGTCCCTCCAATGTTGGAAATATTCAATTATAAAATATCTTGATGAATGATGAAAGACAAATTAAAGGAATTGATATTTGGTTCAGCAGTTCATTCAGTTGTGTCTAAGAAATGTTGAGTTTTGTTTCAATTGGGGTCCTCGGTTTTCAACGGCTCCAACATACAACTTTTCAAGGTCACGAATAGCTCAAAATGAACAAGTTTGCGCAGGGTCGTAAAGATTTATCGTCACAAGGCAAAAGAGGGTATGCTTAGTTAGCATCATATTTACTGTTTTTCATCGGTCCATCCATCCATTTTCGAATCCGCTTATCCTCTCTCACAAGGGTCTGTCGTGCTTTAGCCTATCCCAGCTGTCTTGGTGCAGTAAGCGGGGTACACCCTGAACTGGTTGCCAGTCAATCGCAGGGCAAACAGAGACGAGCAACCACTCACGCCCACACTCACACCTAGGGACAATTTAAAATGTTCCATCAACCTTCCATGCATGTTTTTGGAATGTGGGAGGAAACCGGAGTACCCAGAGAAAATCCACGCAGGCACTGGGAGAATATGTAAATGCCACACAGGAAGGCTTGAACCAGAATGTGTGTGTGTGTGTGTGTGTGTGTGTGTGTGTGTGTGTGTGTGTGTGTGTATCTATATCTATCGATCTATATCTATATCTATCTATCTATCTATCTATCTATCTATCTATCTATCTATCTATATATATATATATTTGTGGGTGGGTGTGTGTGGGTTTGTGTGGGTGTACACCACCCACAGACAGCTGGGTTGGTACCACTGGGTTCGATTCCGGGCCCCAGCTTTCCTGTGTGGAGTTTGAATGTTCTTGATCGGAAAGGCCGTAGGTGGACACTGGCTGCCACGCTTCCGTCAGCCTGCCCCAGGGCAGCTGTGGCTACAAAACGAAGTTTTCCACCAACATAGTGTGAAGGTGTGAGTGGATGAATCATGTATCAATTGTGAGCGCTTTCGGTGTTACACAAAATCCTCATATGAATCAAATGCATTCTTTTCCAGTACAGTGTTGCATTAAAATATGAGTTACATAACTTGCAAGTTTTCATTTCGCCATTTTTTTGGGGGACTTGTGAGCAAAATTTACAATGTGACCGCTCTATGGTGGCAGTCAACTCACTTCACAGCAAGCAGCAGTTTGGCAGATCATAAAAAAAATATTCTAAAAAGAGATATCAATTAGCAGTTCCAGCTGAGGTTTAATGTCAAACTAAACATTAAACAAAGACAATTATACATTGTGTACTTTACCATTTAAACCACAAAACTTTGCCCTATGAAAGTATGCTAACACAATTCAAAACAGCACTATATGATGCTGTCTTCATGATCGAAGGAATTATTTGAACTCAAATGGCACAGCATGACATGTAGACCAGCAAAATGATAATAATGCTAATCAGTACTGATGATTCCTGAGTCCCTTAGTTTACTGAAACTTTTGTCTGCATGATTGTATTATACTCCTGAAGTTACGCACACCAGTAGGAGCCACAATTAGTTAATCGTGATGTACAAACTGTTTAATTATTTACATTATATTCAATTATTTATAATGTTTTTTTAAAAAGTAGAATATTATATGATATTATTTTCCTTATTAAAAATGCCATTTTTTTGTTTTTTTTATTCTGGGGAGGCTGGAACAGATTAATATTAATATTTTCATTCATTGGAACAGGGAAAGATGGTTTGAGATAGGAGTGCTTTGATTCATAAAGAATGGTCATGGAACGAATGAAGCCTGTCTTTCAAGGCACCTTTGTGGTAGTCAATGGGGGTTGCACTCATGTTGAATGTAGGAGTTGCAACCTGCACCATTTATTTGCAGTACATGGACATAAAATGGCTTAAGGTACAACAAGCTGTCAAGCATCATCTCATGTGTCTTCTAAGCCTGAGTCTCCCTGTCATTCACAAGAGCAATATTAAGGACCAGGCGGTTGATAAATGATATATTCTTTTTACAATAAGCATTTTTACGTTTACAAAAGGTGCTGAATTGACTCGAAGTCCACTTTTGTTATGCCACATACAACATCTTCGGACCACATTGTTCCTTTTGAGGGTTGTATTTCTGCACAATGTTGATGAAACAAACAAAGAAACATCAGAAAAGGACCCCGTTGGCTGAAGCTTTGGATTTGAATCCCTCATCGAGGTGAATGACGATGCTACAACCGTTTATTGTAGCTTCTATTGTAACTCAAATGACTCCACTGATTAGGGCTGATCCTTCCACATGCTGCAACCTGTGACTTGCTATCTGGCAGCTTTACTCTTCACTGACCTCCATTCCTTTCCCCTTCTTGATTGTATCCAGAACAGACAGTTGTTCGACAGTCATGCACCATACTTGGATATAGTTGAGTGATTCTGTGCTGTTCTGTACAGCTTGCACAACTATAGCTACATATAGGTATGTGAACCATTACAGTCAGACAGTTAACTGTGTGTGTGTTATTTATCTGAAGAAACACTGCAACATCAACCAAATAATCTCTATTGCATCTGTGGACTGCGGTTTTATGCCATTTGATGATCGACTTCTTTTTGGCCCTAAATGCACTTCTGCACAGTGTAGATTAGTTTACATTCAATCATAAAATCAGGTAAACATTAGCATAGAAAAAAAACACATATATATATATATATATATAGGTTCTAAGACTACTCCAGTGATACAAATATATATATATATATATATATATAAACCAACATGCTTTTCAGAAGCTGTGTTTATGCTGACAGGTTTGAAATTGAGTTTTCGAATTAAAAAAGATGTCACTGGTTTTTGGGTTTCTTTTTCTTCTTGTGTTTCCCGAGGAAGCAGGAAGCGCTTGGTTTTTATACCTAATGGAGTGCTAAACTATCATATCGTTTTGTTTTGTCTTTTATTGGCTTTACTTCGATTTTGGATTAAAAAAAGCACACACTAGATGTATGTATCTATGAAAATGTACAGTTTGGTGCTTGGACAAAACGTGGCAGTTCCACGTTGGAGTTTTGCGGGCTACTGAATGCGATTCTATTTCGTTTATAGATGCGCGATTGCCTTCATCTAAAAAGCGCCAAAGTTTCCACTCTCCCATTGTGTGTCGCGGGTTTGGATGGACTGGGAGATTAAATGGGTTACTCGAGCTCAGCAGCTGTCTAAACAAGGTCAGCCAGATATTATTGCTTTCCCAGCAAGTGCCGTCCTTCAGATGCCTACCACACTCAAGTGACATCAGGTTCGACCCTATGGGTACTTATGTTGCAATATCCCTTTCCGAAAATTTCCTCAAATCATAAGGTAGCATACAGAATAGGAGAAACGGCTGCACAAACATGCTAGGTGTTTGACGTTTTTTTTCTGCTTAATTTAAGAAATAAAACAAAAAACAAACAAGCAAATAAAAACAGAATGACTGTGAATCGAAACGAGACTGGGCATCTTCGAGATTTGCATTTCATCTTCACATACCTTGCTCTGTGAAGCCGCATCCTTGCACAGGACCAGCAGGCATGCGAACAAGTTCGTGTATCTCCACATCATTTCTGCCGTGAACGCTCATACGCAAAACAAACCGCTGGTTACCGCATTCAGCCTGTAAGTGGCCATAAAGTGAAGGGCCCCTAATTCAGCTCCATTTCACACAGGAGGATCATACAGTGAGTGAGCGTGTGTATGGATAAAGGGTGGCATCCGCTGTCCTCCTCTTGGGAGGGGCTTACACTAAATTTGTGTCCACAGTCTGAACAAAGCCAAACATACATCCCACTAGCTTATTAATAACAGCACAAAACCTACTACTGTTTCGATGTTACTGTACTACTACTAGCACTACTATAGACAACGCCAATAACAACGAGAATCAATGTTATCATCATAATCGTCACCATCATTGATTTAATTCTCGGTTGCCAAGTCGACGAAGTTAACCGAAACCATGCATGCAAAATAGAGTGAATTTGAAAGTGTCAAGTGGGAATTTGAAAGGATAATTGTAATGGCAAATGCCGTTAGCGCCATCATGTGGTTACTCACTACTTTGCAATCCAGAGAGAATGGTGCAGAGTCGCATGCATGCAGCGCTCCATCTGACAATCTATCAAGAAATTCGGAACGACTGAACTGTTAGACAGATGTGTTCAGCATTAGTTCAAATGCTGCCCACGCAAGGCTCCATCAGATTTAATTTGTGGGCAAGTTAACAAGACAGATTCCTGAAAAAGATGCACTTACTGACGAATGCACTTGGGAGAAACAGAATATTAAAGTAATGTGTTAATACTAATTGTTGTCTCCAAGGGGAAATTATATTTCCACTTTGCTGAAATTTCCTCATGCATTAAATTACAGAATGGAGGCGTACATAAAAAAAAAAAAAAAAAATTGCCATCTTCCAAGGTAGTATCAAATAGCAAACAGAAATGCCATTGAAATTAGAGCGTGTAACTCCAAAGACTCACACAACATAGCATTAAGTGTTGAAACAATTGGCACGCTGACATCACCATGCCTCTACTTTTCCTATTGGACTGAGCCCCAATGGCTTTGTGAGTGTTGACTTTGGGTAGGACTTTTGAGAGTTCAGTCTGAATTGGACAGGCAGATAAATCTGCTGGTATGCCTCCAAGCCACCATTTTACCATTTTATTTAACCCTTTCAGGAACAGTGGTTACTACAGTGGACATTTTATGTTTTCAGGGCACAGGGTACATGAAAGGGTTAATGCATTCTGAAAGTGGCGCAGCAGTTTACAATGAGATTATTAGATATGTGGCCATATCACTGAGGTAGAAACAAGTACTTTCAACACAAAGGGCCGTGCGCAATGAGTCTTGTGTTAAATTTCAGACTAATTATTAACTATTAATTATCTTCTCTGATCTGCATATGATATGGACATTAGCGGGTGTGAGCACATATTTCGGACGTGGCAATATCCCTCTTTAGTAAGTTCTGTCCGAAAAAGACAGAGGAATAAATACCTGATGTGATGGATCAGATGTAACGGTTTATGCGAATCATTTTTCGGGAAAGCATGGACAAAACATAATGGATACGAGAAAAATGCGAGTGCACAGGATGGGCAAGCGTAATGATTGACATGGAGCCAAGCCAGATTTGTAAACAGTTAAGAAAATTGCCATGGCAGTCACAGTGTGCATGAGAAGTCTGTTCCAGCTCTAGCAGCTCCTCCAGGTCCATGGAAGCCTCCGGAAAACTAGTCAGCATCACCATTCGGTCCAGGGTCTCTAGGCAGCCTAGTAAATGCAACACGAGACACTGCGTGATAAGGTGGTCGGTTAGTAAATAGTGGACGAGAAGCATGGTATGCTATGCTCATCACGTTCTTTTTTTTTTTAATTCATAAAAACTATTCCTATTTTTTATGTTATGTCATGATTCATAAATAGAAAAGACCTTGGCCAGAATGCGAAAAATGCAAGGGACCCCACAGAATGTTACATGCTGGGAGGGAATGTACTGGCCACCACAATAGATAATGAGCTGCACCGTAGTGTGCCTTTGAATCTGCGGGATTCATCAGCATGCTCTCCCAGCAACTCGTCGTGGATTTCAAGATCAGACTAGAAGAAAATTAAGCAAACCTTCAATTTGAATTCAGTGGCCAATATGGCCGACACCACACGGGCTGCTATGTTTTGGGCTGCAAGAAACATAATGTAACATAATGTAGGCTAACCCAGAAACCAGTGTGAAAGTGACTTCTGATAATACTTTGGCAGACTGCAGATTAACAAGTCTATTTCAGTTCTCCATCCCCCATTGTTAACTTAAACCACAGGTGTCAAACTCTGGTCCTTGAGGTCCGCTATCCTGCTTGTTTGAGATGTTTCTCTCCCTGGACAGGCTTAGTGACTCTCTATCTTGTGTACCATCGCAAGATGGCGCCAATGTGCTGGTAGCAAAGACATTGAAGGGGTGAAGAAGAGCGGCTTGTAGGAGCAAAGAACAGCGAAGCAATGTCGGCTACAAAAGTGTGCTCTGAAGCAGCCTTTGCTCAGGGCCCATCTCCAGGGATAGCTTGATTAAAAACAAAAAGCTACCCTTATGAAAAAGTAGTAATATATGTGGTATAGTTTCCAAAGTAAACTCCATCCGTTTTACACCACTTATCCGGGTCGGGTCGCGGGGGCAGCAGCTTTAGAAGGGGATCCCAGACTTCCCTCTCCCCAGCCACTTCTTGTAGCTCTTCCCGAGGGATTCCAAGTCGTTCCCTGGCCAGCCGGGAGACAAAGTCTCTCCAGCGTGTCCTGGGTCGTCCTCGGAGCCTCCTACCAGTGGGACATGCGTGGAACACCTCACCAGGAAGGCGTCCAGGAGGCATCCTAATCAGATGCCCGAGTCACCTCATCTGGTTCCTCTCGACGTGGAGGAGAAGCAGCTCGACTCTGAGCCCCTCCCGGATGACCGAGCTTCTCACCTTATCTCAAAGGGAGAGTCCGGAAACCCTGCGGAGGAAACTCATTTCAGCCACTTGGATCCGGAATCTCGTTCTTTCTGTCATGACCCATAGCTCGTGACCATAGGTGAGGGCGGGAAGGTAGATCGACCGGTGAATCGAGAGCTTCACCTTTATGCTCAGCTCCTTGTTCAACACGACAGACTGATACAAAGTCCACTTCACAGCAAATGCTGCACCAACCCACCTGTCGATCTTCCGCTCCATCCTGCCCTCACTCATTAACAAGACCCCAATATACTTAAAGTGCTCCTCTTGGGGGAAGATCCCATTTCCGAACCGGAGAAAGCACTCTACCCTTTTGTGAATAAAGACCTTTGTTTCGGATTTGGAGTTGCTGATTTTCATCGCATCACACTTGCTTGTGAACTGCTCTAGTGAGAGTTGGAGATCCTGGCTTGAAGAAGCCAACAGCACCACACCACCACACATAAAGTATACTCGAGTACAAGTATATCAGGTTTACTTTTTCATAATGAGTTGCAACAAATTAAGTTTGAATAGTATACTATCAAAACAAACATAATGCCACTTAGATCCATTCATAAATACATTTTCTAATCTCCTCATGAGGATTGCAAGCGTGCTGAAGCCTATCTCATGTGTCTTCGGGCAGTATGCAGTGTACACCCAGAGCTGATTGGCAACCAATCGTAGGGCACACATAGAGGAACAACTATTCATGCTCACGATCACACCTAGGGACAATTTAGAGTGTTCCATTAACCTGCCATGCATATTTTTGGAATGCGGGAGGAAACTAGAGTAAAACCCAAAGGGAGACGATGCAAACTCCACACAGGAAGGTCTTGAATCAAACCCTGAGCCTCTGCACTGTGAGGCGGACGTGCTAATGAGTCCCCTTCTCTGCGAAGCTAATATCACTTATATGATACATATTTTATACTATATTAATGTAATACTGTATATTAACCCAGCCGCTGGGGGGCAGTGCCCTCCCCCGGGGGTGCACTGTTCCCCAGTGCCGGTCCCAAGCCCGGAGAAATGGGGAGGGTTGCGTCAGGAATGGCATCCGGCGTAAAACTTTTGCCAAGACGACCATGCGAGTTGGTAGGACGGTTTACAGGGGCGGATGGACATTACTGACTCGCTGTGGCGACCCCTGAAAAGGGACGTGCCGAAAGGAGAAGAAGAAGAAGAATGTAATACTGTATATTAATAAGCCTGCAGGCTATTTTTTTCTGAATGACATATGCCATAATAGAACCACAAACGATTATTTTCGACGTCCGTGAATCGAACTTCATTCAGGCCAGGTTCTGCAAAACAACTGCTACATCTGGCAAACCTTGCAAAGTGTCTTGATACTTCCGTTTTGATGTTCATTTGCAAATAAATGAACATAAACTGTGTAACAGCCCCCCTCGACCCTTGTGAGGATAAAGCGGATTGGAAAATGAATGAATGAATGTGAAACAGACACTTAGTTTGGAATTGGACATGGGAATATGGACATCTGCTGGACAATTTGAGAAAAACACCACAGACATTTGCCAGAGGACATTACCGAAAATAAAGTTGCAAACAAACGAATGTTTGTTAATGACTCCTTGATTGTCTGTGTTTTGTCGAAGTCTGAGCGAATACACAAAAACAGAGGGGAAAAGGCAGGGGCGTCACGAGGTTTGAAGAACAAGGGGAGCTTAGCCCCAAGGGGAACACAGCCCTTTTAGGGGGGTCCGGGGGCATGCCCCTCCGGGAGAAATTTTTTCTACATTCTATTAAAAATCCATCAATTCCGTGCACTTTGAGAGCAAAATGAAGAGGCTATGAAGAACTACACACATCACATTAGTATCCTCTTTACTATGATGGGGCTTCCTCCCCTGGACTTTAACTGGACTAGATAATAGAAATTATAAAGAGTTCAAAAGTTCAATCTTGGTTGTTCAAGAGAATTAGAAGGATGCCCGATAACATAACCTATATGACAGTAGGCCTATATTCCTCTCTACCAAAATGTATTAATATATGCTTAGCCCCCAGAAGACTATGTATTTTGAGATGTCTGCCGTGATATGCAATTTAAG